AAGTATTTGTTATGTGATTAATTGTTTTATGTGAACATGGTTGTTTGACGGGGGTTTGGGTTAAGGCAGGTCTTGCTTTGTGTTGTAGGCCAACATACCCAGGGCGGACCGGATATTTCGAAGGCCCGGCGAGCGGTCCGGATAGGTTGAAGGCCCCAAGAGGGCGGACCAGACGTGCCGAGGCTTGGAGAGTGGACCAGGCCAACTGAAGGCCCGGTGCGGGCGGACCAGTCATACTGTAGACTTAGAGTGTGGACCAAGTGGATTGAAGGCTCGGTGAGGGCGTGTAACGTCCCAAAAATCCGTACCAAAAATTTTCTTTAAATCATTACCAAAGTCATATTCATAAAACATATCATAAGTCATAACATGAATTCATAGTATCATTTCCAAAACATATTTTCATTATCAGAGTAAAACATCCCAGGCTGACTAATCAATGGTGTGTGCCATGCGATCACCCCGAGCTCTTCCCTCCGCTACCGGAAGTACTTGAAACCAAAACTGAAAACCGTAAGCACGAAACTTAGTGAGTTTGCTAACCTACCACATACCCTGATAAAAACATATACAACACATATTGGGCCACGCATGTTATTTCGGGCCTCGCCCGCTACAACGGCCCCGTCGCTCCGGGCCCTGCCTGGCTTCGAGCCTCGCTCAGATATCACAACACATAAGCTAAACATATACTAATGAATCCCATCCTAAGGCCTGGCCTATCTTGGGCCTCGTCCTTGACCTGCTGCTAATGAGTCATGGAACCTCGTCCACGCCCTTACTGGTGGTGAGATACGGGCCTAGCCCACACTCACTATTTCCAAGTTTATTCCTCACGTAAAGTTGCAAAATTTACGTGAAACCAAGGAGATATGGGCTTAAAACACTCTAAGGCTAGGGTTTGGGGCAAACATGCTTAACCAACACACCAAAAACTGATACTTTATGGATCTCTAGGCCAAGACACACCTAGATTTGAAGTAGCAACCGCAAATCTGGACTTCTAAATCAAAAAGGCTCCTTATCATACCAAAATGGCCCCAAAACATAATCCATGAGAAGATCTAGAAGCAACAAAGGCAAAGTGATAGATTGTTACCTTAAAACTGATGCTCACAACAAAAGGGTTGGATCCTCCAGCTCCTTAGCGGTCAAATCCTTCAAACCTTCCTCTTGCAAAAGCCTCAAACCCACTTCCTTCCTTCTCTCACTCAACTAGGGTTTGGAAACGTGTATAGCAGCTTCTGGCCGACAAGGAGGACTAAGGAGAGGACTTAAGGTCCTTTAAATAGGGTGCAAACCCTCGTATTAGGGCTTTCCTTGATCAGACCAGACTCGCCGAGTCCACTTTCCGACTCGTCGATTCGGTCACTTATTCCATAACTCGGATCCCGCTCCGACTCGTCAAGTTCACCTATGGACTCGACGAGTTGACCCCTTGACTTAGGGTTTTCCTTTCCTTTCTTAGCCTTTCTGATTTTGAGTGTTACAGGGTGGACCAATCACACTGTAGACTCGATATACATGGTTAGACTCGGAGGGTGGACCAGGTGGACTGAAGGCCCGGTGCAGCGGACCAGTCCCACAGTAGACCCGATGTGCATGGCTGTTCTATTTACGATATGTTATGAGTATGTTTATGTGTGGTTGGTATTTTAGGGGTAACTCACTAAGCTTTCGGTCTTACAGTTCAGTATTTTGTTTCAGGTACTTCAGAAGATCGTGGCAAGGCAAAAGCGTGATCGTACCGCTCCTCATGTTTTATGATTTATGTGATATGGTTCTGGGGAATACTCTGATGTTTAAACTATTTTGAAAACGAATGTATGAACTTAATGGTTTTTTTAATGAATTAAAATGTTTAATTTGGTTCGAATTTTATGGTCGTTACAATATTGGATATTCTTACGGTATTTAATAAAAAAAGACGTCATCTTGATATTTGTGGTATCTTGGTTGGAGGGTTTGGATTAGGGATGGCAACGGGGCGGGTTTGGGACAGGTTTTGGTAATCCCGCCCCCATCCCCGAATATGAAAATCGATCCCATCACCGGCTCAATTCCCAACGGGTATCCGTTTACCAAACACTATCAGGTCTGCGGGTATCCCAACGGGGTAACGGGGATCCTCGTTTAACATTCAAATTAAAAATAATTTTGATGAAATGAGAATACAAACGATTAGACTTAGTGATGCAAACATAAATTCATATCCAAAATAATTTTGATAATTTACAAAACTACTAAGAGCATACATATTTGTTCTGATACATAAATGGTTACTAGTGGCAACAAAACTAATAAAGACACTAGCATTCATAAACCATAATATCACTATTACTCTAAGTAATATGAATAAAAAAATGTCAAAACACTAGCATTACAAATAAACATGAAGCTATCTCAAGAAATTATCTTTAAATCGTTCACAACAAAGAAGATAACTCAAAGAAATTAATATATATATATATATATATATATATATATATATATATATATATATATATATATATATATATATATATATATCATATTAACGGTTTTAGGTAACGGGTTTCGGTTTTGGTTTTGGTTTCGGGAAATCGGGACGGGTATTTTGTTTACCGTCGCCGTAACCAAACCCACAAAAATTTTCTAAAAGCATACCAAACCCGATCCCGACCCTAATATGTCGGTTTTCGGTTTTCACCATCGGGTTCGGTTTCTTTTGCCATCCCTAGTTTGGATTTCATATCTGAATAGAATTAAACATTAATTTTTTATGTACTTATAGTTGATTTAGCTCAAACATCAGCCACACTATTTTATGTTATTGGAGTTCCCTCGTCAGTTTGTTGATCTCGAATGTGATGTGATCATGGTTCTAAAAGGCGCGCCAAGGTGCATGCCAAGGTGTGCCATGACGTAAGACATGATGTAGCCATTACGAAAATGTCAAAGACGGGTTTATTAAGTGTAGCACCCGAATAATGTGTCAAGGTGCGCCTTAGTGCGTTATGACACAAGGTTTTTTTTTCAAGGTGTGAGTTTTTTTGGTCATGCCTAAAGTGATTAAGTTTTTGTTAACTTTTTCATATTAAGTGTTAATATAACACTCCTAAAAATTTGATATATTTAATAAAATTCTATAATTATGTGATTTCTCTTTTTTAATGTATATAAATCTGTCACACCTTGAAAAATGTCATGTCTCGCCATGACTTGAGGCTTAACATTACCGCCAAGCTTCTTCACTCCGTTTAGAACCTTAGATGTGGCACATGAGGTACTTAGAAAGGCAGTGTAGGATTGCGATTCTAGCAGTGAAGGTCTAGTGGTTTCTAAAAATTCTAAAATGACTCAATTGCAGGGTCAGTCCTGAGGATTCAATTGCCCAAGATGAGCCGAAAAAAGGCCCTTAAACCTAACGTGTAACGAGTTAAAATGCATAAACTATTTTTTTAAACGATGACAAACTTTATAGCAATAAACAAAACAAAATTATTTATTGGCAACACAATGAATTCTTTATTGATGTTTTCTATGTACTCTTCATCTTGAAGCTAAATTCTTTATTGACAACTCAATGAATCAAGTGTAATCATAACAAACTTATGTCATTCTATTAGTGGTTCTTTTCTTTTGTATGTGCTTTTTAACTCATAAAGCAAAGGGAAACACTCAATCTCACTTATAATGCTAATTGCACAATTACAACATTACATATGACCATTGAATTTAATATGAAAGGGATGTCTAGTTAGTTATTTTAACGATATGTTCTTTGTGCTTATGTAAGGCACATTGAAAACCTAGTGCATGATTAGATCTCATGGTTTAATATCTATGGTTATAGTCAAATCCTTCAAAAGAGTTTGAGGGAGAATAAACACAATGTTAACTAGTGTGATAAAGAATGCATAAAATCTTGAAACAAAATGGATGTGGAAGAATGAAGACAGAGCTTACATTTTCATTGCATCCTAGGAACTCATGAGATTTTATGATTGCAAGTGCAGGAGCAAGAAAGACAAAAAAAATGGATCTTGTATAAGGGGCAATCTTGATCCAAAGTTAGATTGTAAAAGTGTCATCATTCCTGACACAAATAGCACACAATCAAAACCACCATTGACATTTCCTCCTACACACACTAATGCCCATCAGACTCATTATAGAAAACTCCAAATGTATTTAACATGAAATCAGTTGCAACTTACAAGTGCTTACATGGTTGCCACTCATGGCTGGAACAATCACAAGCGGAGCTAGAACTCGTGAACCCAACATTAAAAATCTTTCTGATAAACATTTAACATATTCTAATTTCACAATTCACATAATGAAATTTCTAATTTCAACATTCAGTATTATAAATGATAATCTATTAGTTTGATTCAAGTTCATTAGTTTAATATTCAGAAAAGTAGAAAACTAAGTATAATCCGATAACATTCACATTCTAATTTGCTTCAATAAACAATGATTGACTGAAAAGTGGAACAATGATTCCTATAAGTAGTTCAATTAATGAATAATCTAATTCAATTTCTAATAAGTAATCGACTAATCTAATAATATATACTCCATTGATATGATATTGTGATAGTGTGATTCAACATTCAGTATTTTAATTTCTGATAAGTAATAAGTGAATGATCGAATGGAACAAAAAAAACTGGAATAATAATATACCATTGCTGGCCTCCTGCCTTCACCCTCACCCTTCTAGTTTCTGAAACCTAAATGAAAGCCAATCAAAGGGTCAATTATACAAAAACTGTTAAAAAAACCAATCAAAGCCTCACTAATAGAAAGTAATGAAAGGGTAGATCATGCCTAGTATCGACTTTGTAATCCGTTCACTCTTCATACCACTCAAACAGAAACGTTACCGTTTTACAACAAATCATTACGCATTAGAGAAATGGATATTATAGAAACAATAAGCTGCTCTCATCATCTAGTGAACCGGTCAAACACGTTAAAGATCGAACCTGATCTCCAGATTCGAGTGTCCCTCAATTCCATTCCACTGCCCATGTCATGTTGAGTAAAAACCATTCCGCCACCTCTAATTCTAGTTCCGCTACCAGAAACGTTGCAACCATTGGGTAAGGGTACATCCTCCCATGTGGGATCATCTATTACTCATTAATTAATTAATAATTAATTATTAATATGACTGAAATATTATAAAAAAAACATGGAGCAGGTTGAGATTATAATTAAAACCTGTTGCTGCATAAGGGGAACAAACTTATGTACCAATAACACATCTTGCATCGATTTTCATTACTGTCAAATCATATTAGTTTGCTACTAAAACTACTTTGGATGCACTTTAATTATGTGGACGTGATTTTGGATGTAAACATATATAGAAACCAATCAAACAGGTGAAGTTATGGAGGTTAATTTCAAAGCTTAAAAGCATGATTGGATCAAGATCACTTTAAACTTCGAATCACCAAGTAATCTTCCAAAATTTTAAGCAAAGTATTTTGAATATCCCTAAAATAGTGAGATGTAAGAGCAATTGAAGAAAGTCAGATTAAGCAACAAACTGACAGATAGTTGTGTTAAATTCATAGATATTTGTGCATCTTTTGAATACATATCACATACAATATCATGTATGATATATGGCCATGTGTCCCGCAAAATGATAAACAGCTTACCGTCTCTTTTTAGCGTTTTGTAGTGTACAGAAACGCTGAGAAACCAAAAAAGTAATATGATCGATGAGAATCCTTTAGATACTCCGACATACAACATTGTTATAATAAGATAAGCAAAAGAAAAGAAACTTAGCGATGATTTTTCAAAGAGATCCAAAATATAAGGAAGAAGTTAACCGAAATGGAAAGGAAATAACTAAACCTGTTGGATTTGATCAATGTTCATGTTTGTAAGAGGAAACAAAGAAGATGTCATTGGATTAATCATATCATCAGCTGAAAGCACTTCACTTTCCAAAGACCCACTATCAAATATTCATCTTTTTTACAGTGGTAAAAGCTAAAGAATCAAAAATGGATGAAGATTAACCTGAATAGCGTGGTTCTTGAAGCTGACATTCTCTTTCTCCTTTCTGGCTCTATACTAGACATAGAGAACACTGATGAGATAAGCAACCCAGCTTCTAAGGAGCCCATAAAAGACTTCAAAGATGACTCCTGAAAGCATACCTAATTGAGAGAAAGAGTATGAGAGTTCAACGGCACTTGTGCTACCTAAAATCACAAAACAATAGACAAAAATGACTAAATTTTCTTTATGAAAAAAGAGAGGATAACTACAAGGTGTAGAGGGTGATATGGTAAATTACTTGGGTTGAGACACAACTGAACCAAGCATCATAAGCAGGACCACCATGCCAGAGAAAGTCCTTGAAGCCAGACATTGACTGATCTACCCCTACCTGCCCCTCTCTTTGTTCTTGCTCATTTGAACCCTTCATTTCCTCGGGAACCATCGCTCCTTCAGGTTGCTTATTAGGAACCATTTAAGCTATGTTTTCTTACGTTTACGAAAGTCTTTCTAGTTGTTAAAGAGATCTGAAACTGAAAAGACAACACACCATAAGAAGCGCTTAAAAAGTTCTCTACCTTTGCCTTTATTTGGGTTTGATAACAGAAAATATCATGAATCAATGCAAGTAATTAAAATAATAAATTAACAGAAGCTAGACATAGGCATATATACTTTCAATTGTAAGATATCTATATTTTTTTGAAAAAAATGATCAATTAATTGTTACCACTTTCAATTTAAAACAACCAATTTAAACAACTTATGCTCCAAAAGTGAACTGTTAACCCTAGGCGGAACCCTAACTATATACACAAAGACAATCCAAAACGAACCTGGGCAAAATCAGGGTGGTGACCCGGATTGTGCTAGGATTCGATGACATTGCTTCTTTGTGCTTCCCTCTGGGTAAAAAACCCACAACTTGGCTTTATGTATGGTGTATGATCATCACCTGTAGACGTTTACAACTTTTAAATACCCTTTTCTCACAATAAAACAAAATCATTTTTTATCATAAATGCTTCTAGGAACATATAAATCAAAATCGAACTTGGGATGAATAACAATAACATCCAAAAGTGTTCAATTTCAAACAAAATGATTATGCATGCTAGTAAAAATAAAATCAAAAACCGCAACATTTGATTCACCAAATGCATAAAGGAAGAGGAAGTGTTTGAAAAGGACCACGTCAAAGTTGAACACCGGGGATTGATTTTAAATAAAAGGTTAATTGTTAGATAATCTCACCAGTTTGTAATTAACACGGTGTTGTAGCGGTGGTGGCCAATGAAGCAGACGTCGTTTAATCAAATCACGAACTCATCGAAAATCGGAGATCGACATTGATCAGAACAACCGGAGAAATCGGAAGTGAGACGTGAAGCGATGGCGGAGTCGACATCGTCAAACGACTCCGTTTCTCGGTATTGGTATGCACCTAGGGCGATGTCGGCAGAGAAAAGGGAAGCAATTGGAGGTGGTGACGGGTTCGTTTGGAGAAGGAACTGAGAAAGAGAATGTTTTGAAATATTCAGTTCTTTTCTACATATTTTTCATATGCATCTGCATCGGTTGATTATTGATTCTTTAACGAAACGCTGATGATATTGCGATGATCAGTGAGTAAATCAATCATATTAAAACCAAGAAAATTAGTTTTGGACTTAACTAACCAAATCGTAATGCAATACCATGGTGAAGTCAATGATAACACAAGAGAGGAGGATGGGTGGAGAACTGATTCTTCTTGGATGTGGATGCGTTTAGAGAGAGACGACAAAAGGACTTAGGGATTTATTGGTGCAAACGATTGTCGGTGTAGGCAGCCACTGGAAAACAATTACACCAATCGAAATGTGATTGGATAGGAAAACGGTAAAGAAGATAGGTGACAAACACGAAAAAGTTTGTAAAAAGTGGCATAAACTGCCCATAATATATATGCACATCAAGAAAACGAAAAAAACATATCACTATAAACTAATGATGATTTTTGCCAAAAAAAAAACATCAAATTCACTGAAGCTAAGATAAGATAAATTTAATATAATAATAATAATAATAATAATAATAATAATAATAAAAGACAATATAAAATAATCGGAAAAAAAAAATCAGAATTCCTTTAAGTCAACTTAAAAGGATTTATATTTATGTGTTGTCATCCCTTCTTGAAGTTGATGGTTAAAATCCCAATATAAACATAGATGGATTTAAGATAGGAACTTAGATTTACCGTTTAAAAAAAATCGGAAAGAAACGTCCTTTTAAATCATAATATAGATTAACCCTCCTCTTAAATTCAAATACAGTGAAGTGACCCCTAAGAACCCCTAAGAAAGTAAAAGGGCAAAACCACTTAAGTATTAATGCTGCGCCAAATACTTTAGTTTTCATCACCAGACCAAATTTACAGTGAAGCATCATGTGGATATGATTCTCATTTAATCCTCACCAACCATATATATATATATATATATATATATATATATATATATATATATATATATATAGAGAGAGAGAGAGAGAGAGAGAGATGAGTTTCAGTGAGAAGCAAGAGGCATTGGTGAAGGAAGCATGGGAGATAATGAAGGAAGACGTTACTGCTCTTAGTCTTTACTTCTTTACACAGTAAGTGATTATTTGGATGAATTATTTTTCGTGGAAAAAGAGTTGGGTATAACTTTATAATGTTAAAACTGATAAATATGCTTATATGAGCTTTTAAATTGGCAACAAGTTTTATCAAAAGTGTTCAACAAATTTTCAATATTTAATTTCTTTCTATATGTGACTTCAATTTTAGTACTTCTTAATTAATTTTTACCAACGACACTATCAAACTTATTTATTTTTGGAAAGAATTATACACAGAAAAGCTTCTAAAAATGGCATTAATTGATGGCAAATTAAGGGTACTGGAGATAGCACCTGCTGCAAAGGGATTGTTTTCATTTCTGAAAGACGAAGACGAAATTCCCCAAGATAACCCCAAGCTCAAATCCCATGCCGTTAAAGTTTTCAAGATGGTATTTAAACAAGAACAATTAAAGTAGCTACTTTTCTTATTCATACATATTCGTTTAATTAGTAAATCATTAATATTTATCAAGTATTTAATCATATATGAATATGAGGGAAGACATGCGAAGCAGCAATTCAGCTGAGGGAGAAAGGAGAAGTTGTGGTTTCTGGTTCTACACTCAAATATTTGGGATCTGTTCATCTTCAGAAAGGAATTGTTGATGCTCACTTTGCGGTAATAGTTAAATATTAATTAGTTGGTGATTATTTTTGAGATTTTTTTATTTATGGTATAAATAGATTAAATGTTTTATTTAATGATATAATGAATGAATGAATTAAAGGTGGTGAAGGAGGGAGTGTTGAGAACAGTGGAGAAGGGAGTTGGGGAGAAATGGAGTGAAGAGATGAAGGGTGCGTGGTCCGAAGCTTATGATCAGTTGGCTGCTGCCATTTTAGCTGAAATGAACAAAGAGGCTGCAGAAACTACTGATGAACCCTAAATTCATTTTTTGTTTTATATCTTCTTGCTAATGGTGTTTCGTCTAATCATATCAATCCACGTGATATAGATTTTTTTATGTTTTTGTCATAAAAATAATATGAATTTGCATTTGGTTGTATCAAACTGATAGCTATCAATAATAAAATATGGTCCTCTATAGTCTATAGTATCAAAATCAATTTCAAAAAGATCTATATATTATTACAAGGGAAAGTTTGTTTAATATATATGTTTTTTTAAAGACGCTTGGCATGAACAAAGCATCCGACAATTCTTTAATTTATATCACTAGTATTTTAGAGCATTTCATCTCGTAACATAATATGTTTAATTTATGATACAAGTTAATAAAAAAAATTATTCTTTGATCAAATATTTAAGATGATTCTTGATGAAAGCAAAATGTGAAGTGTTCTAAACAATATTCATTAACTGTTACTTTAGAAAATAATCAAAGTAGTTCTTGGCTTTTTGCAATCATTTATTTAAAAAAAAAAAAACATATGCACCCCACAGTGGCACAGTCCCACACTCTCCCTCTCACTGGAAAATGGAACCCTGTCCCTTTTGTTTGCAGGGATATGAAAACCAAGAATTATTGAAATAGTCATTTTTAGAAAAATTGAAGACTTTGGTCCTTGTGGTTATGTAGTCTTTTATAATCAAATCTACTTTTTCAGTTCTAATGTTTGTTATGGTTTTGTCGCGCCCAAGGTTCCGGGTCCCTAAGCCGTTTATCTTAACGACTTGGCTATTAGACCGGAGGGTATGAGAGGGAAGCTTTCCTCATTTTTTGTGGGTCATACCCTCCTTTCCCTCACTTTTCTTTTCTCCACCTAAAAACAAAAGAATGGGTGGGAAGCTTTTCCCTCACTTTTTTTTTTTTTAAATATATTTCATACATATATTATACTTATTTTGTAAGGAATTAAAAACCATAAGTTTTGATATATTTTTTATATTTTTTTAGTAGGTATATAATTTTATAAATATTATATTAAAAAAAAAAAAAAAAAAAAAACTGACTAATAGCATGAAGGGAGAGAGTGCGGCACCCCCTCCCCCCATCTCTTTCCCGCAGCTTTTTCCCCTCACCCTCGGAGTGGTGTGCAGGAGTGAGGGAAACTTCCCTCATCCCTTTCCCGCACCCACTCCGTACAACCTTAAAATTATTAAAATACCCATTTTATGATTTTACCACCATCTTCTTTATTTCCTTCCTCAACAAATCTAATAAAACCTCCTTTCCCTTCTTTTCATGATCGGTGTAAATTTTTTGGTAAATCAAACACTATAAATTAACAATTTCAGGAAGAAAAACTAAATAGCCATTTTTACATTTATATCTTTATATACTCTAAAAATTACTTTAATATTCTTATAAACTTTAAAATTACTTGTATATCCTTCTAAAACTATAAAAATTAAATCAATATCAAAATCCATATTTTAGTTAGGATTATATCAATTTGTTAATAAATTATTTATCAAATATTCAAAATTATGTTTTAGTGTACCAAAATACCCTTCCTAAATAAATCCCAAACTAAAACACAATGCATATTAGATTGCGGATCGTATCGCTTCAAT